GACGATGGCTTTGAGCTCCTCTGCCCGGGACACGTACTGCCCCACCTGTAGGAGAATAAGGGGCTGAGGGCTGTCCCCTCAGCCAGCACCCACCTCCAAATTTGTCTCTGGTCCTCAGTGACTGCCTCACACTAACCAGGTCAGACATCAAACACGCTAGCCTGACCTAATCCTTCCCCCAGCCCTATCCTGTGACAGAGGAGGTTCCAAATCTGAGCGCCATCTGTCAGAGATTTGTGATCTCTGGGTCCTCTTCTTCCATGTCCATCCATTTCCTCCTGGGGAGATCACCCTACCTTGGCCTTAATGGCCTCCTTCCGCTGGGCATCCACTTCGTCTGTGGAAGGTGAAGGGTTCATATGAGGACTCTGTCTGGGAATCCCCGCCCACAGTCAGCCCTCTGCAATCCTCAGATATCAGCTCCAAGTTTATCGTCTGCATTGTCTCCCCTAAGGTCCTGAATGGGGAGCCTGACCCCACTCCTGCCCCTTCTGCACCCAGGTCATAGGAACGGTCTGGGCCTCACAGTGCAGGGCAGGTACAAAGAAGTCCAGAGCCTTGCAGTAGAGTGACAGCGCTGTGGCAGCGTCCCCCTCCTGGTCCTTCTTCACAGCCTCCACCACAAGGGCTGTCTGGGGGAGGGGAGGATCAGCGGTCAGACCTAACTTCCCAATGCCACACCTACCAGCACCAGTCAGAATCCCACCTGCCTTGTGGCCACCAGCTCAGCTTCTATGAGACATTTCACCACCACAGTAGGTAAATGAGACCCAGCCCACCTCATCCCCATTGGTCTGCTTACTGCCCGCGCCAGGCTCTCCCCACTGGGCATGTGCTCCAAGTCCACCCAGGGGTGGGCAAAGAAGTCCTTGAAGGAGATCCGATGGCTGGGATCCCGCTCTAGAAGTCGCTGCAGCAGGTCACGGCAGTCTAGGGAGAGTTGGGGCCGAAGGGGGAGCTGCAGAGGAATATGGCAGGGACACATGACACTGAGTCCAAAGCCCGAGGCTCCTTAGGAACTCCCGTAAGGGGTACATATTTGGAGATGGGCTATCTGAGACTTGAGGAGAACACGCAGGTGGTGATGAGCAGGAAGAGAGCCACATATCCTTTACCAGGGTCCTATCAAATGGGAATTTGCCACCACCCCAGTTCTATGGGAAGACTGGACTTGGCTCCATCATGGCCTTTGCCCCATTGGTTGCCTGCTGCGGCTGACCTGGATCCTTAGGAATGGACCAGATCCGAGGCTTCCACTGTAGAGCATGTCCCACCACCATGAAAGGCCTGGAGCCTAGACTGCAGTCTGCACCAAAGGAATAAAAACCTAGGGCCTTGAATCCCTCAATCCCCAGAGGATGCCACGACCCTGCAAGACGCACCTCAATAACCCGATTGCTGCGAATCTTTTCTTCTAGCTCTGAGAACGATCTGGAGGCAAAAGGAGGCTGTCCAAAGAGGGCTTCTGTGGAAAAAGGCAGAGGGGAGGCTGGAAGGAAACAGGGTTAAGTTTTGCCTCGCTCATCCCTGGGAAGGGAACCAAAATCCCTTGGAGTAGAGAGCCCTGGGGCCTCCAGTTTTCATCAGAACCCAGGAGGGGCCCAGAGAAGCCTTGCCCAAGTACAGAGTAAGCAGGGTGGAGAGCAAGGGAACAAAGGTCTCACCATACAGGATGACCCCCACAGACCAGAGGTCCACACGAGCATCATACTGCCGCTGACACACCATCTCAGGAGCCATGTAGAGTGGGGAGCCACGCAGCACATGCTTCTCGTCTCGTGGGGACATGTGCTGTGCAAAGCCAAAGTCTGCAGGCAAGAGGCCAGGCACAGGGCTCAAATCCCAGCTGCTACTGTAACTCTAGTCAGAGCTCCTCCCCACCCTAGACTCACCAGGACTGCTCCTGTCTCCTCCCCTGTGCTATGACCCACAGCACTCCACCTAAGTCACTCTGGGGTGGAAACCCTCCTCGCGGCACATAGCCTTTTAAGCACCATCTTCCTAAGAAGCCCATCTCAAAACACCACGTGCACTGAAAGCCCTCCTGCCCCTCCTCCCAGGACTAAGCATGTTCTCTGGCCTCCAAACCCAAGTCCATTCTTTTTCAAATCGTATCAGAGGCCACAACCACCCTTCCAGGGCCATATTCTCCTCAGGTGTCCAGACTGAGCCCTAATCCTAATGACAGATTAAGTTGGGTCCCTACTCACAGACTGATCCTGGATGCTGGTCACACACCGGCATTATTGCCAGACTGAGCTCCATCTCTGACCCAGAGTGATCCCTAACTCCATCCACAGCACTGCGGGACTTAAGTGTGTGCAGCCTGATAACAGGCGCTACCTTTTGGTGACAGGCTCAAACCTGACCTGCCACCAATGACTGAAGACAGGGACCCCAGGGGATGAGGGTGCTGAGGGAGCCCAACAAGGGGCTCACGGTTCACCCACTCTACACCATTACCCTGCCGTTCCCGACTCAGACCTGCCAGTTTCAGATGGGGCTTCTCCAAAGAGCTCAGCAGAATGTTCTGGGGCTTCAGATCCAGATGAGAGATGTTTCGTTCATGCAGGAACTTCAGGGCACTAGCTGGGGAGCAGGCCCCATGAAAATTAGTCAGAGTCTAGTTCCCACCTGCCTCTCCCTGCCCCAGGCTTCCATTTACCCTCTTCCTGAGGCATTACTGTTGTTTGTCCTAGCTGGACTGCAGGATACAAGGAAGCACCAGACTCCTGTCACTTTTTAAAGGCATGCACCGCCATCACCTGGAACTACTGCCACCACTAAACACTTCCCCAAAGGCCTGCTCTTTGTACCCTTCATAAGACACCGCCCTCCCCGCTTCTAGGAGCCTCCTGAAAAGCCCAAGTCCTTTTGCATTCTTCCTCACTAAAGCACTTGGGTTCCACCTACTGGACCCTGGAAGAGTCTACAAGGTTCTTACATCATGTTCTACATGTGGAAGAACTCCCCACATACGGTAGGACACAGACATGGGATACTGCGAAGCCCTGGGGTGTGGGGGGGAAGAGAACACAGGGCGGGCCGTTGGCTTTTACCCAGCTGTTGCATGAAAACACGAGCCACCTTCTCAGGTAGGATCCTGCGGGTGTGGATGAAGCGAGAGAGGTCACCCCCTGCGCAGAACTCCATGATGAGGTAGATGTTGTCATTGTCCCACTGTGGTTGGAAGTAAAGAGGCAGCTGTAGGCAGTGTCCCCCCTCCAGCCTCCTTAGGAGGGAGCCCCGCCCCAGGCTCGCACCTGGAAGTCTTTCAGCTGCACGATATGGGGGTGCCGGATGCCCTTGAGGATCTCAATCTCAGTCAGGAGGTTTTCCACAGATGCCTTGTTGAGACTTTTCTTGGCCACGCATTTTATGGCTACCACCTCCCGAGTATCCTTCTGTAGGACAGGAAATTTGAGGTCTCTGTCTTGGGGGAACCTGCCCCATGGGCTAGAGAGGGCTCTGGGTCCCTCTGCAACCTTCCCCCTATCTGGGTCTGGGTCTATTCACTCTCCACAGGCCTCCAAGTTTCCCAGCTTCCCCTTCCCAATGAGGCACCCAGATTCTGGAATCCTGGCTTCCCAACCCAGCAAGTGTTCTCCAAATCCCTGTTTCTAACCTACAGCAGTACATTCTGGAGCGGCGGCAAAAAAAAAAAAAAAAAAAAAAAAAAAAAAAAAAGTCAAGGTTGTTAGAACTGGCCACTCAGCCTTCTAACTGGTCCTGCCTCCCGGGAGTCTGGTCTCAGACTCCTCCCAGCCCCTAAAGCGACTTCCGTGCAGAGTCGGTTCCTCAGCCACTGACACCGAGGTTCCCTTAGGTCTTTGCCCGCCCTTCCAGAGCAAACCGGCGTGTGTTTGTTTTTAAACCTAAGAGGGGCGGCCAGCCCCAGCCTCTTCCACTCGCCAGGCGTCAGGCGGCCGCCTCTCTCCTGCTCCGGCCGGCCAGTCACCCAGCCGCACTTGCTCGGGGCTGGCGGGCACAGGAGCCAGGTGCCCGGCGCCGGGACACCTCGGGCACGGCCCGCCCACACCCACCTTGGCGTAGGCCTTGTACACGGTGGCGTATGTGCCACTGCCCAGGCGCTCGGTAAGGATGAAACCGTCCAGCCGAGGAAGACCCCAGCCAGGCCCAGCCATCCCGCGCCCGCCGCCAGGTGCTTCCTGGTTCGGGGCGCAGGTTCCGGCCAGAGGCGAAGTCGGGGGCGCTCGAGGGGCGGCGGGGCGGGACTCCGCACGGCCCCAGCGCCGCCCGCCGGAAGCGCAGCTCGACACCTCCCCTCCGAAGCTCCGCCCAGCCTGCCGCGGGCTGGGTGACACCTTCTGCCAAAGACTGCCAGGCCGGATTTCAGACACTGGGCTTAGTGGGCGTAGCCAAGTGGGTCGAGGATTGAGGACACTATCACGTGGAAAAGCCTCTCTCAGCACACAGCATCCTAGAGACCACCCGCGTTGGGGGCGGGAGGAAGACCCTGGCCTTCTGCCCTCCACGACCAGAAGCAGTGGGATGAGATCCCTGGGCCGCCGTGGGTGAAGGAGGACCCCAGCAAGTTCTCTGATCCACACTACAAGCGCTCTGGCACGCACACAACACACACAATAGAATATTAAAAACTGATTTTTGAGACAGCGTTTCTCTGTGTAACTCTGGCTGTCCTGTAACTCACTGTGTGGACCAGGTTGGCCTTGAATGCAAGAGATCTGCCTGCCTCTGCCTTCCCAGTGGCTGGGACTAAAATGTGTGCCATCATGCCTGGCTAAAAATAATTTTTTAAAAATGTCTTTGGAAGAAGTCAAGTTGCCATTGCCAGGGTCCTCCCTCATGCCTTTCAGTGTTGGAGGGCGTTCCTCCTCAGAACTGAGTGGCTTGACAGTCTCTCAGTCCAGCTGCCAAGGATCTCAAATTGTCACCTCACCTATCTTCATGGGTCCTCAGCCCAAATCTTCAGTAAGCCACAGCCCTCCCAAGTCCACCAGAGATATCAGAAACAGTGCTGTCCGAAAATCTTATTTTTATTTAAGCACAAAAATTGAGACATGACATATACATTTGTACATGGAGGAAAATACCAGAAAGTTTACAAAACCCTGGTGGCTGTCATTACCATTCAATGGCTCTAGGGATAAATGGCTGACAGTATGAGGGTAGCCTCAGGAGGGCCCCAGTTCCCAGAGGCAGGAGGCTGGCCATCTTGGTGAACTCCTGCATCACTGACACAAGGTCAGGTTTCAACAGTGATCTAAGTGTCACTGTAGTGACACAGCTGTGGAGTCCCCAGGACAAGTGGAGATCCCTCAGAAGGATGGCTCAGCAGTCCTGCCTGCAGGACATAGTTCTGGGCTAACTTCCTCCAGCAGCCCTAAGAGTTGTAAGAGGTGAGTATTGCTGAAAGTGGGGCAGGAATAAGGCTAAGGCAGAGGGGCAGAGTTCCTCAGGAGGTCAGAAGCCAAAACAAACAGGTCAGATGACACCTACCCTCTCAGAAGACTGCCAGAGGCTGGGTAGGACAACTTGAATGACTGTCTTCAGTCCCTCCCAAGTCCCAAGCAACTCCACTCAGAAGTCTGAGAAGAGCTAGTGAGGGCCCCCAGAGGGCACAAGGGGCTATTACACCATGGGACAGAGCAGGCATAGAGAGAGGGACTATTGTGAGGAACACCTGGAGACAATCTGAGGAGCATCTGTGCCCCTGCCCAGAACACAGCTCACTTGAAGTGGAGCCCTGGGCAGGCTTATGAAGCCTAAGCACGAAAGGTAAGACTGTGAAGGCCCCAATATAGGTCAAGCCTGCAGAGGGAAGAGTCCAGGGTGTCTGGGAAATTCCTAGTGCAGTGAGCCCAGGGCTGCCGATGATCCCGTGTGGGGGCATGAACACGCATGCACATGAGTGAATTTGTTTCCAGGGGAAGCAGTCCCACTGCTTCCAGACAAAGTCCACCGTCAGAAAAGAGAAGACAGCTTTGTTATTTTTTCTTTTCCCTTGTCCCTGTCCCTTCCTCCCCTTCCCTTATGGGGAAGGGAAAGCTGACTACTGAGGAAGGAGCAGGGACAAGACAAAATCCCTGCCAGGTCTGTGCTGGGCAGAACTACTGTGTAAGGCACCCACGGAAAGTGCAGCTCAGAAGGCAGGTGACAGAGAGGCTGGGGTGAGGGAAGGAGAGTCGGGAAGACTAATTCCCCTGGAAGGTTCCTCGGGCAGCAGATGAGGCAGCGCTGCGGAAGGTTCTGTTGCTGAAGATGCCCTGGGAAAACTCTTCCTGAGCCTGCTGGAAGCTGGCTCCTGTTCGGCGGTAGAAGGCATGCACCTAGGGAACAAGGCTGGGGTGAGAAGAGCCCAGAGCAATCCTAGCTATCAGGGTATTCTTCCAAAGGGGCCCTCAAGTGTTTAACCCTGCCTGCCTGCCCACCCGAGTCATGGACAAAGGTGTTGGGTTCCTTAGGACTTTAAGGACGAGGAATATGATGTCCACCCAGGAGAGATACCTTTTGTGTTTGCTGTTAGCTCATACCCGACTTACCCGCTGCAGGAGGAAAAGTGAGAGCCCAGCACAGAGGGTAAAGAAGCCGGCCACTACCATCATGATGATGGACACAGGTAAGTGCCCACCTTGCAGGGTAGACAGGGCTGCGAGCCAACCACTATGAAAGGAGAAACCAGGGGTGAGGTAAAACTGAGACTTGGGAGTCCCCAAGAGGAGCACTTCTCCCAAACGGCTGTGTCTTGGTCACCACCTGGGCATCTCCCTGCAGCACAGGGAGCCTTGTGGTTCAGTGACCTTCCTCTGTGACTGGGATGTGAGCACGGATAGTGTGAGCCCACACTGCTCCAACATGACCTCTCCTGAAGTCTCAGAGGTGGAGTCACATGGAAATCTTCTGCCCCAGTGAGGTCTAGGAAGGAGATGTGACAACTGCCTTGTCAGGATCAGCCAAAGGCTCAATGTGTGCTGCTGACTGAGGGTGGGGACAGGGAAGGCACTGGTTCTGCGTGGAGGGATCTGGGACAAGGACACTGACCAGCTGTTTACCTTGTCACCTCTGCTTCCCTAGTTATGTCACTCTCACGGCCTCAGGGTCCTTAGCTATACAGGGCTTATTCTCATGCTGCCTGACTTGAAAACTTACAACAAAGCCACCGTAATAAAAACAGTGAGGGAACAGCAGGAAGACAGAGCAATGCCATAGGTTTCAGAGTCCAGATACACCTATTTTTTTTAAATTTTATTGAGTTTTATTAAGCTCTACATTTTTCTCTGTTCCCTTCCCTGCCTCCCACCCCCCTTCAACCTTCTCCCAAGGTCCCCAAGCTCCCAATTTACTCAGGTGATCTTGTCTTTTTCTACTTCCCAGGTAGATTAGATCTACGTATGTCTCCCTTAGGGCCCTCATTGTTGTCTAGGTTCTCTGGGAATAGAGATTTTTAAAGTTACTTATTTTTATTTTTTCTGTGCATTGTTGTGTCTGTGTGAGGATGTCAGATCCTCTAAAACTGGAGTTACAGACAGTTGTTAGCTGTCACGTGGCTGCTAGGAATTAGCCAGGTCCTCTGGAAGAGCAGTTAGTGCTACTAACCACTGAGCCATCTCTCCAGCCCCAGTCTACTTTTTTTTTTCTCTTTTAAATAAGGGTCCTAAAACCAAAGGGGACAGTGAGATGGTTCAGTGGGCAAATGTACGTAGTATATTAAAGCTGAGTGCTGTGGCTTATACCTGTAATCTTAGCAACTGGGAGGCAGAGGCAGCAAGATCAGCAGCCTTGTATAGGAGAACTCAGTTGGTAAAGTGCTTACAGCATAAGCATTAAGACTTGAGTTTAGAACCTCAGACCCCATATAAAAAAGCCTATGCTTATCATCCCAGCCAGCACTGGGAAGGCAGAGACAGGTTCAGGATGCTAGTGTGGCCAGCACTCGCCTCACACTCTGGACGTCCTGACTGCTGCAGGGAGGGGATCAAAATAGTGCCACCTTTCCAGGCTCAAGCTCTCAGCCCCATGTCAACTTGACATTTTTGCAATGTTCCCTGTGCACTGGGGTAGAAAGGAAAACATCAGCCATCAGCTTTTCTTTTGGAAATTAATTCTGAGCTAAGATGCAGTTAGCCAGGAAACTCAAACCAGCTACATGTTCCAGAATGGCAAGATGCCTCTCCAAGGAGGCAGGCCCCATCTCCTGCAGTCACAAGGCCTTGAGAGAAGAAGTAAGATGGGAGCTGAAGATGTTGCTCCACTGGTAGAGGGCCTGCCTAGCATGCATGAGGCCCTGGATTCCATTTTAAGTGCTACATAAGAAACAAAACCAGAAAAAAATGAAACCAAAACAAAATAAAACACACACACACACAGACACACACACACAAGTACAGCCTAGAGGCAGAATAATGACAAGAAGTTCATGGTTATTTTGGGATAACAGTGAGTTTGAGAGGTAAGGTGAGCCGGGCGATGGTGGCGCGCGCCTATAATCCCAGCACTCGGGAGGCAGAGGCAGGTGGATCTCTGTGAGTTCGAGACCAGCCTGGTCTACAGAGCTAGCTCCAGGACAGGCTCCAAAGCCACAGAGAAACCCTGTCTCGAAAACCAAAAAAAAAAAAAAAAAAAAAAAAAAGAGAGGTAAGGTGTAACTTTGGCTGCATCAGTCCCTGGAAGCGTGCTGCAGGAGAAAAGCAAGAAGTTGCCATACAGTGCTGGACACAGCCCTAAATACTTAAGCCTAACTGGCATAGTAGCTCGTACCTGAAATCTCAGCTCTCTGGAGGCAAGCAAGAGGATCACCATGAATTTGAGACCACTCTGGAATATATTATATATAATAAATCCCAGGCTGGAGTGAGACTCATCTACACACCATAGAATGTAGAGAACAAGGAAAGACTGGTAGCTACTGTAGGATTATTGGAAGCTGGCGTGTGGCTCAGAGACAGAGGATTGAGTAGCATGCACAAGGTTCTTCTGGGTCTGATCCCTAGAGTCACAAAAAAAGATGACCAGGAAAGAAGGTGTTGTATGGAATTTCCTCAGAAATTGAAACATTCTATTCTATTGGAAGCTCAAGCAGGAAGGTAAAATTCAAAATAGATTTAGGAAGTTCCTGAAACTGACCAGATTCACTAGGGCCCTCCCTGCTACAGTAAGCAATAAAAGCTGAGAGCCCTCCTTTGCTGAAGGAAGTTGAGGTGCAAAGAAGACTCTGAGACCACAGCAGATACCTGGGAACGATGTAGACAGTCCCTTGAAAGGACATTCTCCAGCTTGGGGAGCAGCCTGCAGGCTGTGCAGTGTGTTCTAGACTCCCAGCTTCATGGACTGTCGCCCAAGCTGAGGTGGGCTTTGGTAATGCAGCTGCCTGAGTTGTTTCTGCTCCAGTCACTACACCTCACCCATATCCTTGTAAGTAACCCTAATAAAACTTATTGGTTCACCAAGCTAGGCTTTGGTGGTATCGGTACTTTGTTGTCATGGATTCCCTATCTGGGGCAAGTAGATGTGTGCTCCGTCTTCCCAGGAGATGTTTCGTCACACAGATCGTAGGATACCCTCCACCCTTTTTCCACCATGGTCAAAACAGGCTCTCCAAGAGCCAGAAAATGGCAAGGAAGTTGAATCCTCTATGATACCTCAGATCTTACCTGGTCCCCAAGTTAGGCAAGCCAATCATTTGGATGAAGTAGATCCCTATTTGACAAAAAAATACAAAGAAGAACACGAAGAAGCTGAAAGAGTTGTCAGACCTGTGGAGAGAGAAGAATTAAATCACAAGCGGGACAGTGGGACGAATCCGTGGGGAAAGGGATTTGCCACCAAGCCTGATGCTCTATGTTCAATCCTGGAGCCCAAAGGATGAAAAGAGAGAACTCTCACAAGTTGTCCTATGACATACTTATGTGCACTGTGGCATGTATGTATATGTGAATGTACACACACATACCAAAACCACAAACAGATAAACCCTAGGGCTCGAGGGATGGTTCAACAGTTTGGAGCACTAGTTGCTCTTCCAGAAGACCTATGATTCCCGGGATCCACATGGTGCCTCACCACTGTCTCTTAATTCCAGTCTCAAGGGATCCAACACCTTCTTCTGGCCTCTGAGGACACTGCATGCATATAGTACACAGACATTCACACAGGCAAAACACTGACTCATACAGTCTTTAAGGCCTGTGAGTTCAATGCACTAAACTGCCCCCAACACACACACACACACACACACACACACACACACACACACACACACACCCCCTGTAAACTTGAGAAGCACGCTGCAAAGACTCCTCAAGAATTAAGTACCTCCACCACTGTGCTGTTTTGTTTTAGGTATAGACAAGGGTCTCCTGAAGCCCAGGCTGGTCTCTTAATTTCCTATGTAACCTTGAACTTCTGACCCTCTTTTCTACACCTCTCAAATGCTGGGAGTATAGGCATATGCCACTAAACCTAGTTTTATGTGGGGCTGTAATAGAACCCAGGCTTTGCACATCCTAGGCAAGCACTCATCAACTGAGCCATATCCCTGGCTTTGACCACTGCATCCTTGAGAATCAGAATACTATGCAAATTCAGGATCTGCCTTGCTGATACTTCCGGCTCTTCATCCCAAGACTTGGAGGACTCCCAGCCCTAAAAGCATCAAGCATGGAAGTTTAATTCCAAATCCCTAGAGTGTCTTAGAGATACATATATTTATACATATATTTATGCTCACATATTGGCAACAGATCATAATGGTGAGCCACAGCATCTGACATCCAAAGGGCAGCACCTCAACTCTCAGGAAGGTGCTCCCTCTTCACAGCAACTAAATCCCTGCCTGCCAGTTAGTCGGCCCAGGAATAGTACCACAGCAGGGAGGCTCCCAGTCCCTCACATTTGCCCGTGTTCATTCATGAACAGGCCTCTAGCTAACCTCACTCACAGGGTAGGCTGAGGTAAATGGCTTCTAATTTGTCTGATCTGACTCAGTGAGAAAAGGAAAGCAATTTCCCCACTACTTTGTTCTAAGCTAGGACTGTGATGAGACCCAGAGCTTGGATCTATCGGCTGCTCCTGGGATGCCAGCCATACCCTCATCCCTTGTACTAGCTCCACTCACCTGAAAGCCTTGTAGATTGGTCGGTACCAACAAAGGAAGGCACAGGGGGTGAAGATCACAAACCAAAGGATGGAGAGGCCAAAGGCCGTTCCATTAGCGGCATTACTTGTGAACCAGGCCAGGCATGCGAGGAGGTTTAAAAACAGAGTCACTGAATGCACTGGAAAGGGGCAAGGAGAGAAAAGAGGTTTGACCCAAGGTGGCCGGAGGCCTGGCTGCCCACAGAGCAAGCCACTCCCTAGGAAAGGCCTGCTGTGAGGGAGGCTGCAAATACAGAAAGGGACTTCGGTCTATACTTAGGCAAGATTGGCTTTCAGATCCTGGTTCTCTGGGACCTCACACCAGGGACCAAGCTTTCTTAGGAGGTGACAGTGAGACCTAGGTTTCAGGGATAGATGTGGTAAGGTGCAGACCCAGGGCTCATCCTCGGGGAAGGAAATAACTCTTTCTCAAAGGCCCACAATGAAGGTGCAGAATTTTTCCTCACTGCTGCAACCTAGAGGCCTTTCAATACGGTGAGCTCTACAGGAACACAGAAGTCTCTGGATAGTCCCTTCTCCCTTTCAAAGAAGTCTAGCTGGCCCTCTTGAGCAGGTTCCCAGACAGGACATAAAGAACCTCCCCATGCCAGCCCAAACACTGGGAAGGACAAAGTCTGTGAGAGGTCTTGACCCCAGGGAGCAAGGCCCAAAGTAAACATAGACATCTCAAGACAATGTCAGTGCACCCCGAAACTCACACATCCAGAGATAGTAAAGCATTTTGCATATCCGCTGGTAGTCAGCAGGGATCTCTGTGGAGAAGTCCTGATAGAAGCAAGGCTTGACGGGGCACCACGACGGCAGGGGCGGCCAGTTGTTGTCTCTCACTGTGTAAAAAGGATTCAGCCTCATCAGTGGCATGGAGGAGAGCGCACACTGGCCCAGCTTATAGGCAAAGCAGAGCTTGCAGAAGTGCCCCTACAAGCAGAGTTCAGGAGTCTCAGGGGCTTCATGGACCATGACGTGAGATCAAAGAGGGAGAGAAATACCCAAGACAATGAAGCCCGACTACATCAGAGAGAGCTAAATATCCTAAGTCAGCGATTCTCAACCTTCCTAATGCTGCAAGCATCTGCGTGCTTTTACCTCTTGAATGCTGGGATTAAAAGGACAAGTTACCACATGCCTTTTAAACTACTTTCATTAGTGACCAGCGCATAAGCAGGACAACCAGGGTTGTCATCATAAGCATGTATAGGGTGACTATATAAGTCAAGCCACCACCATCTTGGGAATTCAGCTGCATCCTGTAGCAAAAGCATTATCCCAGCTGGGCTTGTGCACCATTTACCTCCCCTCATGGAGGGGGCCGGTCAGGAGACCCTCATCTAAGTATCCAGACATTCCCTACCACAGGTCGTTTGCAATTCTGCTTTAACCGCACACGGTCTTCAGGGAGGGGCTAGTCTAGAAGGAAGGGGGCTCCATCTACACCGCTACAGGGAAGTCTTCATCCCTGCTGGGTAAGGCTTTCCTGGTGTGGCCTGTTGGAGGAGCACCCATACCCCTAGAAGTAACCCCTCACCTATGCTCTGGGAGGAAGCCCAATAAATCTACTGGTTCCACAGAGAGAACTTTGTCATTGGGACCTTGTTTATGTCTTCTTCTGGGAAGTAATTTTAACAACAACATCGAACTCTGGGCCCAGGGAATCAAAGAATTTCAGAGCTGGGAAGGAATGCAAAAATAGCCCGTATCTGTCAGGCCTATTCTGCTGCTGGTATCCTAACTTCTGCCTTACTTCTTTCTACCCTACTCCCCGCACCCACCTTTCCTTCCTTCCTCTCTCCCTCCCTCCCTCCCTCCCTCCCTCCCTCCTTCTCCCCCCCCCCCCCCACCCTCCCTCCCTCCCTCCCTCCCTCCCTCCCTCCCTCCCTCCCTCCCTCCCTCCCTCCCTTCCTTCCTTCCTTCCTTCCTTCCTTCCTTCCTTCCTTCCGATGCAGTCTTGCTATATTAGAGCCTTGTCTTGGCTGGAACTTGCAGTGACCCTCTTGCCTCCGCCTCCCACATGCTAGGGCTACAGATATTGCCACTATGCTAAGCTCCCCAAACCAATATGCTTCCAAAATCAAAAGCTTTGCAAGATCTCCCATGAAGATAGCTCAGTACACTGCCAGGTAGAGCAGGCTAGACCCCAACAGTCTTCTTTACCATGTAAGTTCGCCGCGGTATTCTGCAACTCCCGCTCCTTGCGCTCCAGCTCAGCAGCTTTCCTGTCTAATTCTTCCTGCTGCCGAAGCAGGCCTGCCTGCGCTGCAGCTGCAACAGCCTAGAGAGGACACGAGCAGGGAACAGCCGGAAATGAGGAAGGAGCAGTGTCAGCCCAGGTAGGCCAGCAGAGGCACTTCACCCAGGCAGGAAGAGCTAGCAGGAGGTCTCAGAGGCAGCCCTGTCCAGTAAAGTGTCTCGGGTACTAAGGAATACCATGCAAGTGCCTAGGTGATCCACCGCCCACTACCCTTATACCACCTTGACTCCTTGGTCCTTGCCAGGACTCTCCACTTCCTCCCCTTCCCCCATGGCTTGTCTAGTCCCCCATACTGGAGTCCAGGCTAAATTGAATTATATTGTCCTTTGGGTAACTCCAAAGGGGAAAGACTTCACAAGAGCCCAACCTGAAGCCAGAAACCCAGAGACCTGAAGCTACAGGGAAAAACCCAAAGCGAGTGTGTGCAAAGTCGAAACAATGCTAAGCTGCCAGCAGAAAGCAGAGGGAGGATGTGAGGCAGGCCACGGACACCAGAGCCCCAGGAATTTACACCAAGGCAACCTTCCTCCCTACTCTGCCCAAGGAGCTGCCTCCTAGGCCCACCTGAACGGTATCTGGCCATGCCTTGGAGGCAGGCCATGACTATGGCCCTTCTCTGCCTGACTTTCATGGCAGGCAGGGGCCAAGCTTTATCACTTCTGCAGGCAGAGCAGAGCCTTCTAATGAGGCAGCTCAAGGATGCTCAGGTGAGGCTGAGTAGAACTGGGCCCAGGGTCCTGCTCCTGCTGCTGCCACCACTGTTTGGCCCCATCGTCCTCCTGGAGAATGAGACGGTGGTCCTCCGGAGCAGCCAGTCCACTGGCCATCTCACAGGATGACAATCAGGCATATGTGTACACATTTCACCATAGCAGTTCTCCAGAGAGTGAAGGCTGCCTCTGGACACTGGGATTAGCATTGACTGTACAGTGTCACAGTGAGGGTTGTAGGCTCATCTCCCTGTGCGGTCACTGGAACAGAGGCAGGGTCTCTGCACCCCTACTGCATCACCCCGATGGACATAAATTGACCCTGCAAGTAGGGATTGTCTCACTCCACAGGGTTCTAGGAGCCAGCCTGAAGGCTCCAGGTGCCCAGCCCACCCTCTTGCTCATCTACGCTAGGCCTACCTTTGGAAGCTTTCGCATGTAGCTGTCCCTGGGAATACTATCTCCTCCTAGTAGCATCTGCCTCTCTGAGGGCTCACCCGCTGCCAGGAATCGGGCAGGCAGAAACTTGCTGGCCTGCCTAAGCAGGAGCTGCAATACACAACTCCACTGTGGGCCATGCTCACCAGGGCAGTGAGAAGCCCGGGGTGGGGTTGAGGGTGGGGAGGTGACTGAGGCCAGCGTCAGGCACAAGCAGACAAGGTTCAGCAGACCCAGTGACAAGACAAAGGCAAACAGGATGGAAGGCAGGAATAAACGAGGTTGAAAAAGAGAGGGGCCAGGGTTGTAGTTTGGTGACAGGCAATTGTAAGGACCCAGATTCGATTCCCAGTATCACAAACAAAAAAATAAAGGGATTCTGGGACCTAAGAAGGACCTGAAGTGACACAGCAGGGCAAATGCTCTCTGAAGACACCAAGGATGCTAGCCCAGTGAGTAGTGCTTACTTCAGAGGTGGGAGTGGAAGAGTGACTCCATAGGTTGGTTCCAAAGAAATTCACAAGCCATCTCAGGGACAAAGGTCCTTTGCTGCCCCCAACCCTACGTTCACCTATGGACCTGGGTGATTCCCACTTGCACAGGAGAAGCCAAAGAACTCTCAACCTGTACCTGGGGTGTTGGCTGTGCAGGCTCTACTGAGGGCTGGAGAACTGCTGGCTGCGAGGGCCCAGGATGTTGTGAGACAGGAACCGTTGTTGCTGCATTTGTCTGTGTGGGGCAAAGGAGGGGAATGAGTGGATTCTACTAGTGGCAAACCACAGTGAGGGACCTGATCTGGGCTCTCTTCTGCAGGTTTTTGGCCAACAAGGCTTAGGCTTAGGGAACAATGACCTCTAACCCATACCCCCTAACCCATACTCTTGGCCTTGCTAGATACAAGGCTTTCCAGCATAGCCCTGTCACAGACTGACAGGAGAACTTCAGTGACTTCCAGTGACGTCTCCATTCTTACCTTACCCCAAGTCCTCATCTGGACTGTCCCTCTGAGGATGTTAACTTCCCCAGAGCTGTTCTTTTTCTGCCATGTTCCTTGCCCCAGACACCTTGGCACCTCCCACTAGCACACATGCCACTACCTCCCAGAAGACAGCACAACTCAGAGAAAGGACATAGTCACCAACCTCCGAGAAGGGATTAAATTCAGCCAGGCCACCCTGGGGGGCATTGGTCAGCTGGGTCACAGAGGGATCCTGGGAAGGAGAGAAAGAGGCATTAGTTATTGATAGGAGGAAACACCTCTGACCAGAGGCTAGCAGGCAATCCCAAGTCCCAAGTATCCAAAGTTCTGATCTGCTCTGCAACCAAGTCGCTTCATCTGAATGCTTTACCTTTCTGAAAACAGTCGGCCCCACACAGGTGTTCTCAGTGCCCAGATCCAGAGGGGGTCACAATATTTAACTCTGGTACTTTCTTCATTTTGGTGGGGAGGGGGTAATGTGGTTGGTGGCAGTAGAGACCTTCCTGTACTGTTTTATTTACTTATTCATTTAAATTAATTTTATTTTATGTATACTGGTGTGAGGTTGTTGGATCCCCTAGAAATGGAGTTACAGACAGTTGTGAGCTGCCCTGTGGGTGCTGGGAACTGAACCCAGGTTCTCTGGAAGAGCAGCCAGTGCTCTTAACTGTTGAGCCATCTATCCAGCCCTTTTATTTATTTTTTTGTTGTTCTTTTTTCTGGCGCTGGAGATGGAATCCAGGGCCCTGTGCTTGTGAGGCAAGAGAACTCAACCACCGAACTAAATACTCTACCCTGTTATTTCTTAGTCTACAGAGAGCATTTTATTCCTCTTGCTTTTTAGAGATGAGCTGAAGGTTCTGGAACGGAAACATGCTGCTGGCTGCCAGCAATGACTGTTAATCAGGCACACTTGTGAGGAGGGAGAAGGTCTCAGATGAAAAGGCCTGGAAAGTGTTTCCTTTTCTTTCTCATTCTTGAAAGAAAGAAAGGAAGGAAGAAAGAAAGAAAGAAAGAAAGAAAGAAAGAAAGAAAGAAAGAAAGAAAGAAAGAAAACAAAATTCCTTATAGTTCAGTATGGCAGTATGTCTGTGATCTCTGGAGGCCGAGGCAAAAAAAAAAAAAAAAAACCCAGAAATGGAAGTCAGCAGCAGAATACAGTCTGCCTGTGTTTCCGTTGTCTTGCTCCCACCCTCCTCTTTGCTTAGGTGGCCCTTTTGGTGGCAAGACAGTTTGTATTCATCAATCCTGCTCACGAGTATGGGATTCAGGTCTTGCTCCATCCACAGCCTGCAGGAACTCTGGGAGGAACACAGGAGAGAGTGCCACTGGCTGGAGTTCATTCTCAGACCTGCACTTGTTTTGTTTTAGAAGACAAGAGTTTCATATACTCAGGTCAGCCTCAAATTGTAAATGTTGGGGAATATTATTTTAAGGTGTGTTACTTTAGTTTATGTTTCATTTGTTTAACTCTGTGAAGCTGTTTTACTGTGTCTGTCTAAAACACCCGATGATCTAATAAAGAGCTGAACAGCCAATGGTGAGGCTGGAGAGAGGAATAGGCAGGGCTGGCAGGCAGAGAGAAAAAAATGGAGAAATTTTGGGGAAAAAAAGAGATCTGGGAAGGAGGACTTCAGGGGCCAGCCCCCACACCCCCCAGCCCTGCAGCTAAACAGCCAGACACTGAGTAAGTAAGAAAGAAAAGGTAAACAGGAATAGAGCAAGATAAAAGCTGGCAATAAACCAGGCAAGCTAAGGCCGGGCATTTATAACTAAGAATAAGCCTCTGTGTGTGATTTATTTGGGAGCTGGGTGGTGGGCTCCCCCAAAAGTAAAAAAAATCCAAAAAGTCAGAAGAATAAAACCCAACATGTAAAGACCAGGATGGCCTTGCTCTTCTGATCCTCATGAGCCCACCTCCCAAATACTGGGATTACATGTGTGTAGCACCACACCTCGCTCTATAGACCCAATTCTTAAATACTGTGATGGTGTCACAGACACTGAGAGCACGCCCCTCAGCTCACAGGTGTGGAAGACACTGGTCATGGTGAAGTGGCAGGAGCTTCCTATTCTGAAACTTAATGGAGCTAAGTGTCAGCACCAAGAATGGCCTCTGGCTTTTCTATACAGGAGATCTATCTTCCCATGGGGACCAGCAGCACCTAGGATAAAGCTGTGCCTGAGCACCCCAGTGCCACACCCTGAATGGAGCACCAGCTGGAATCACTGGAATCCCAGCTCATCTTAGGGACCCTGTACCTCCTTTCAACCTCCTCCACCAGACTGCGTCCTGTCTGTTGAACACACACCTCTGCTTTGGTGACTCCTGCAACTCAGTGTGACAAAGTGAGGCTCTAGTGGTCACTAAAGGCCATGGGGACTGGTCCTGAGGTTATTCCTACTAGCCGTCTTCTCTCAGGATCAGTCGGCCTGTGGGAGGCTCTGGCCAGGGTCTACCCTGCTTACAAAGCCAGAAGATACATACCAGTGTAAGCAAGCCCAAGTCACTGAAATCAGACCCCAGTCAAGGAACTGGCTAGTACAGTCTGTCACCACAGGACACAGGAACCAAGGGGCAGCTCAGATAGCAGTGTCAGGAGCTGGCGCATACACACCTGGCTAAAGTGTGCATGTTTAATAGGCATCTTGAAGCTCAAGGCAAGGTTCCATTTCTATCACAGGACAGTCAGGTAGCAGATTCTTTAGGGTGGTGATGAGACGATTGGGACTACCCTGTCCACAGAGTCTCCCCCTCCCCTTTCTCTAATGTCCTCAAGGTATGGCCCTGGGGCCCTAACCAGGCTCACCCTAACTAGTGAGCTGAGAGTGCTCTGCAGCTGGGGCATCTGGGTCTGGCCCATCCTTCAGGCTCCCCGGGGTTTGCTGAGGGGCCTGTGAGCCACACTGTCTCATGCCAGGGAACCTGCAGCACAACAGAGGCCTCTTGCCTGGGACCAGATGAGACTAACACTGTGACACATGGGGACTTCTCCCCTAAGGAAACCTGGGCTCTCCCTGAGAGAGGCTGAGGTTAGATGAGGACAGGGAGGGGGTGAGGACTAAGGGAAGGTGACATTTCCTAAATGTCTACTGCGTGCCAGGCTCATCATGTAACGACATTACTGTGAATTCTATTCACCCAGAACCGATCAATGTGTCACATCACTAGGAAGTTATTTGCTATTTATTTTTGAGAAACTTACTCCATATGGCCTTACAGAATTCACTATCTACAGATCCCTTAACCCCACCCCGACACAAGAGTCTCTGTTGCAGCTCAGGCTGTCCTGAAACTCAGTATTGTTTACCAGACTGGCAGCGAACTCGAACCTTCTGCTATGGCCTCTCCAGAGCTGGGATTACAGGTATGTGCAACCACACCTAGCTGGGCAGTGGCTCAGCTTCTCTCCTTTGTTTCTATAATGTATTGATGGGCTGACAAGATGGCTCAGTGGGTAAAGGCAATTGTCACTTTGAGTTTGATCCTCGAAACCTACGTGGTGGAGAGAATGAACTCTCTACAAGTTGTCCTCTGACCTCCACACATGCAGATATGGAGGTAAAAGGAAGAAAGAGGAGCCAGGCGGTGGGGGTGCACACCTTTAACCCTAGCACTCGGGAGGCAGAGGCAGGCAGATAGATCTCTGTGAGTTCAAGGCCAGCCTGGTCTACAGAGTGAGTTCCAGGACAGCCAAAGATACACAAAGAAACCCTGTTTTTAAAAACAAACAAAAAAAAAAAAAAAAAGAAAAGAAAAGAAAAGAAAAGAAAAGAAAGAAAGAAAGAAAGAAAGAAGGAAATATTCATTATATTTCATTCTGTAAAGACTTGATACAGATACTCTGGTCAGCTTTTGTGTTTATGGCTCTACTGAAAAAGACAACCACAGATTTCCTCATATAACCTCCACCACAGCCATATGAGAGACATAGACGGGAAAGCTCAGTGCGGGGCTGGTAGCTCAAGATCCCTGGGGCAGGAGGCTGGAGATGGCTGGGAGGTTAGGAGCACTTGATGCTCATCCAGAGAACCCACATTCAATTCCCAGCACTGACATGGTGGCTCACAGCCACCTGTAACTCCAGTTCCAGGGAATTTGATGCCCTCTTTGACCTCCTCAGGCCTCATACACATGGTACACAGGCCTACACACAGGCAAACACCCATGTACATTATATCTGAGCGCGTCTCTGGATCCAGGTCTGACTCTAGCAATAGGACAGTAAGCCTGAGACAGCAATGCTGCAGGACAAACAGAAGATTATCAATTACTATGTGGCTAAAGTAAATGACCCCTGTTCCCAAAAGGCATGAGCAAGGACTTCCTTCCTGAACTTCAAAGAGCTGGATGTTGGGGCACATCTTCAGTAAGTCACAAGTAGAGCCTTCTCATGTAAGGGTCACACTGACGAGCCCGAGGAGGACCATGAGCTTTCACTCCAAGTCACAGAAATGACGTTACCAGCGTCAACTTTTCCCCCTCACCGAGCACCAGTTGCTCTTAAAGGGGTAAGCAGTTATTTAGAAGAATGGCGAGGTCCAAGCACACCTACACGGAAGATGTAACCTCAAGCCCCCAGCTGCTCAGACAGGAACAGCACTTTTACTAACTGATAAGACGGAGCAAAGCTAAAGTTCTTTACATTCAGTGGACAGCTACAGTGTGAGTTCACAGTCTGGTGGACTGGTAACTGAGACAAGTAGACACATGCCAAGAGTATGCTGGGGTGAGGTGCAGAGTGATTGACAGGGAAGGGTTGGGAGGAAGGTGGGTGGGATGGTTAGCTTTAACTGTGAACTTGCTTCAACTTTATAATCATCTGGGGAGTCTCTCAATTAGAGACTCTCCACACTGGGTTGGTTTGTGGGTTTGTCTGCGGGAAGGTTATCTTAAGTTAATGGATATGGGAAGCCCCAAACCACTGTAGGTGGCTCCATTCCCTGGGCAGCCAGGGAACCCCTGAACTAAGTAAGAGTAGAGAAATCAAGCTGAGCATAAGCAGTGAGCATCTATGCCTTATATGCTCTTCGCTCTTAAACCGTAGGCGTGAAGCCTCTGTTTGAAGTTCCCGTGTTAACTTCCCCATAAGTTGGACTGTAATGGAATTCTAAGTCGAAATAAACCCCATTCCTCCCTAAGTTGCTCCTTGCCAGAGTCTTTTATCACAACAGAAATGAAACTAAAGTAGTGGGGTTCCCAAAAGAAAGGAGGGAGGCAATCAAAGGCCC